AATATAAATATATTAAACTTATATTTTAATAATTAAAGGTAATTTTGACAATTAGTATTACATTCTCATTAAAGTACTTATAAACCAAACACTGCAATGTTATCAATCACATTACCTGTAATCACATTGCATTGTAATGTACCAAACGCAACTTTAAAATTTTCTTTAATTGAATGTTTTGATCAGGCCTAGGGCCCAATATGCTAAGTGGAAGGACCTCAAGATGCTAACCACAGCAAGCACGAACGTGAGTGCTCTCAGGTCCAGTAGAGGAGACGAAATCATGACAGCGGATGCCAAGGATTGGCAAGGGTAACCTACGTCATAGATAGGGTAGGGTCAGAAAGGGTTGAGATAACTATTCTCTCTCCGATCTTCCGATTCCTGCGCTGTTCCTATTCTTGCCGAGCCCGCGTATTATTCGGTCCAATAGATTCACCTCCAGTTTATAATTTCTACATTTACATGTTATCTCATTAAACTAAATAGATAACAATGGAATAGTCTTTGATTCTAACTGATTTCAAAGGAGTTAAATTGTTTGAAGGCAAAGACAGAGGTGATGGCACAGCCCACCGTCGACTGTGGATGTTTCCCTAACGATGAGTAACAAGGCTCTTTCATTTTCAGCTCCCAAAGGGGCCACTCGGCCGTGCTATCTTCGATAACGACAAAAGAGGAAGCATAAACAGTTGATAGTTGATTAGCCATTACCACCAACTATCAAAAGAGTGATACAATTTCATGAACGATAGTATTAGTAGCCCCCGCCCCCCACAATAGTTGTTTTTGGAGTCGGTGGATGACTGTAATTTTCACACAATTAATTGTCAAACAAGATTCATGATAAGAATTAAGAATAAGGAAAATACTAACTTGCACATAATTGCCAAGTGATGGGGTTGATGAAGACTGCAATAATGCTGTGCACAGGGTAAAGCATTCACGACCTGCAAATTGCAACAATGATAGGCCCTAATCTTCAGAAAAAGAGGTCTTGGTTCGTAGTTGTTACCGCTGAAGAATGGCATTTACAGTACTTGTTCTGCATCAAGGCCTTTTCAGTCCCTATATCAAACATTAATCAGAGTAGTCACTGGTGGAAAGAGGTGACTGAAATGGTTTTGGAAAGACCATGCCGGCATCAGTGGGCAAATTGCTCAAACTTTAGAAGCCTTGCAGCAAGTATGAAACAACGGAACACGAGTTACACTCGGATTGGCTCGACAGTGTAAGGTTTCTCAATGAATTCATACTATAACATGGACATGGACAATGAGTGATTACTGATTCAACAATGCAGAAATCTTAATTAGTCAAAGAGATGAGCAAAGCTTATTTACCC